GAAATGTGTGCGTGAGTGTGAATATGAATGTGTGTGTGAGTTTGAGTGTGAGTGTGTGTGGTGTGTGTGTGTGGGAGAGTGTGTGTGCGTGCTTGTGTGCCTGTTGGTGTGTGTCTGTGTGCTTGTGTGTTTGTGGGTTTGTGCGTTTGTGTGTGTGCGTGTTTGTGTGTGTTTGCGTGTGTGTGTTTGCGTGTGTTTGTGTGTGGTTGTGGGTTTGTGCGTCTGTGTGTTTGTGTGTGCGTTTGTGCGTTTGTGCGTTTGTGTCTTTGCGTGTTTGTGTGATTGTGTGTTTGTGTGTTTGTGCGTGTTTGTGTGTTTGTGTGATTATGTATGCGTGTGCTTGTGTGTTTGAATAGTTGAATGCTTATGTGTTTGGGTGTTTGTGTATTGGTGTGTTTCTGCGGTTGTGCGTTGTTTGTGTTTGTGCGTTTGTATGTTTGTATGTTGGTGTGGTTTGGTGTGTGCGTGCTTGTGTGTTGGTGTGTGTGTGTGTGTTTGTGTGTTTGTGTGTTGGTGTGTAAGTGTGTGTGTGTGCGTTTGTGTGTGTGTTTCTGTGTGGGTGCTTCTGTGTGTGCTTCTGTGTGTCTGGTTGGGTGTGCTTGTGTGTGTGCTTGTATGTGCTTGCGTGTCCGTGTGTGTTTGTGTGTTTGTGTGTGTTTGTGTGTGTGTTTGTGTGTGTGTTTGTGTATTGGTGCGTTTGTGGTGTGTTCGTGTGTGCTTGTGTGTGTTTGTGTGTTTGTGTGTGTGTGTGTTTGTGTGCGCTTGTGTGCTTGTGTGGTGGTGCGTTTGTGGTATGTTTGTGTGTGCTTGTGTGTTTGTGTGTTCGTGTGTGGTTGTGACTATTTGTGTGTTTGTGTGTGCGTGTTCGCGTGTGTGAATGTGTGTGACGGTGTGTGTGTTTGTTTGTGTTTGTGTGCGTCTGTCTGTGTTTGTGTTTGTGCGTGTGTGTGTGTCTGTGCGTGTGTTTGTGTGTGTCTGTGTGTGATTGTGTATTTGTGTGTTGTGTGTGTTCGTGTGTTTGTGTGTGTTTGTGTATGTGTGTTCGTGTGTGTGTGTCTGTGTCTGTGTGTCTGTGTCTGTGTCTGTGTGTTTGTGTGTCTGTGCGTGTGTTTGTGTGTGTCTGTGTGTGATTGTGTATTTGTGTGTTGTGTGTGTGTGTTCGTGTGTTTGTGTGTGTTTGTGTATGTGTGTTCGTGTGTGTGTGTCTGTGTCTGTGTGTCTGTGTCTGTGTCTGTGTGTTTGTGTGTTTGTGTGTGTGTGTCTGTGTGTCTGTGTGTCTGTGTGTCTGTGTCTGTGTCTGTTTCTGTGTGCGTTTGCGTGTGTGTGTGGGTGTGTTCACCCTGGCCCCGCTCCTCTTGGACTCGCCCTCCTCATCACCGTCCTCCACATCTGAGTACGCCGTCCTCGTCCACCCTTGCCCCCCCATGCACTGCTTAGCCAAAGTGGCGCTTGCGTGCTCGGCTGAATAGGGGGTCGTAGCCCGGATTGCGCGCCCGCGCGCGTGATCTTCCACCGATGTGCCGTCTAGGCACGGCCCCAGCCTGCCTGACCCCGACCTCCCCACAGTGGGACCTCTGTCGACGAGCGCGTTCCGCTACTCGCAAAGGAACTACTCGCAAATGGCCTGGAGCCCCCGCCGGGGATCTGCGACAAATTACATCAAAGCAGACGGGTGCTTTTCGGACGTTTGCGAGTCGGCACTTTGCGAGTAGTGGAACGCGCTCGGCGACTCTGGAGTACCCGGGGCCAAAACGTCCCGCGCGGCGGGCCATCCTGCTCGGAGGGGCCCGGCAGCGCCCACCCCCACGCTGGCGAGCCCCGTGGCCCCTGCGGCTGCTGGGGCTTGTCAGCGTTTGCTGATTCGGCGTTTCGACATTGGGCGGAAGGGGGGGGAGGGGGGGGGGATCTGGCTCCGGACCTCTGCTTGGTGCGGCTGTTTGGGGCCGTGCGTCCTCTGGGGGAGGCTCCGCCTGCTCTGGGCGGACGCCGGGGAACAGCCGAGATCTACTCTGTGGGGAGGGGGGAGGGGGCGGGGTGCTCAGGCCGGGCCCGCCGATCGGCAAGACAAGGAATAAAAAACGACCACCTTGGGGCTCGAAGGCCCCCCCGTGACCCGCGGAGTGGAAGACGCCTGGGCGTCGGAGGCCCGAGGGCGTCTCACAGGGAAGGCCCTGCCACCCTCCGGCTCCTCCTTCTCCTCCCCCTACCAGCCTCTTGATTTTCTCCTCTTCCACCTCCTCCTCCTCCTCCTCCTCCTCCTCCTCCTCATCCTCATCCTCCTCCTCCTCCTCCTCCTCCTCCTTTTCTCCTCCTCCCCCTCCTTCTCCTCCTCCTCCTCACTTTTTCCTCTCCTTTTTCCTCCTCCTTTTTACATCCTCCTCTTCCACCTCCTTTTTCTATCCACCTCCTTTCCTCCTCCTTTTCCTCCTTTTCCTCCTCCCCGGTTTCCTCCTTTTCCTCCTTTCCTCCTCCCACTCCTCCTCCTCCTCCACCTCCTCCTCCTCCTCCTCCTCCTCCTCCTCCTCCTCCTCCTCCTGACGGTCCTGGGCACGGCACGGCAGGTGTTCAGCTCGCCGCCAGACGGAGACGTCAGGTCGTTTTGGAGCAGCTCCAGCCTGGGGTCCTCGAGGTAGTACTGGCCACCGTCGTACACGAACTCGCCCAAATCGCAGGCCCCCGTGCCGTAGTTCTGGGCGAGCGTGACGACCCCGGGCCTGACCTGCTGAAAGGACAGGGCTTCAGGAGTGACGGAAGTGTTGAACCAGATCGTGGGATTCCGAAAAGTGGTAGTAGTGTCCCCTTCGCAGCCCGCCGAGGTTGAGAGCGTCACGATACCGCCCAGCTCCTCCTCGACCGTGCAGAGGAAGCCGTCGTACTCCAGGGACGCCCACCCTGGAGAGCAGTCGTGGGGAAGGAAGCGGCGGGGCGCCCGGGAGGGAGGGAGGCTGGGGGACGCCAGACGGCGCGGTGACTGGCCGCGCGGTAGCATCGAAGTCCCCAGAGGCCGCACCGCACGGCGTGCGTCGCCGCACGGCTGTGGGGTCCCCAAAGGACAAAACCGCGCGACCGCCCCGAAAAAATCCCGACGCACTCACCGCGCGGGGCGCGGTCGCCGCACCATCCGTGGGCCCGCCAAGGGCGGGAGGGGCGCCACGAAAAAGAAGAAAAAAACAAAAAAAGAAAAACGAAAAAACACGAAAAAAAAAACAAAAAAAAAAGACGCGGGGAAAAAAAAAAAAAAAAAATAGAAATAAAAAAAAAAAAAGAGTAAAGGGAAGATAAAAGAATGAGACGATCGCCGGGTAACCAGCGGGTTGGAGCTCCCGGCTCGAGACTTCCTAAAGCAGGCTTCGACCTGAAAACGATGTTTTTCTTTCGTGTTTCGTGATGTTCCCAACCATCATGTGGTGTTTTGGGTCCTCGTATGCGATGGCGCGCCTGAGCCGCGTCCTCAGTTGGGCGCCCTCCACCTCCTCCCTCCTCGTCATCCTCCGCCTCCTCCTCCTCCTCCTCCTCCTCCTCCTCCTCCTCCTCCTCCTCCTCCTCCTCCTCCTCCTCCTCCTCCTCCTGTTGGACCTCAGCCCAGCCTGCGCCGCCAATTTCGGCACACCCCTCTCGCGCTTCGTGGCCCCAGGAGGAGCTCCACCGAAGGCTCCAGTGGCAGTGTTCGCGTGGCGGCACCGCACCCGGTCTGCCGGACCCCTCACTTCTCGTGGCCCCATATTATTGAGCTCCACAGAAGGCGCCACTGGCAGCGTTCGCATGGCGGCCCCGCACTCATTCTGGCACACCCCTCACACGTTTCGTGGACCCATCGGGAGGTCCACCGAAGGCCACAGTGGCAGCGTTCGCATGGCAGCCCCGCGCCCATTTTGGCGCACCACTCACACGCTGCGTGGCCCCAAAGGGAGCTCCACCGAAGGCCACAATGGCAGAGTTCGCATGGCGACACCGCACTCATTTTGGCACACCACTCACACGCTGCGTGGCCCCATAGGGAGCTCCACCGAAGGCCACAATGGCAGAGTTCGCATGGCGACACCGCACTCATTTTGGCACACCCCTCACACGCTTCGTGGCCCCATATCGAAGGCCCCCAGCAGCGACGTTCGCACGCCCCTCACGCGTTTCGTGGCACCATAGGGAGCTCCACCGAAGGCCCCAGTGGCAGCGTTCGCATGGCGGCCCCGCTCCATATCGGCACACCCCTCACACTTTTCGTGGGTCCATATTGGGCGACACCGAAGGCCCCCCAATGTCTGCGCCCGCATGCGTCCCCACCCCATTTTGGCACACCCTTTCCTTTACACGCTTCGCGGCCCTGTAAGGAGATCCACTGGAAGGCGATACCCACAACGGCGATACTCACAACTGCCTATGGTTGGGCCCTTCGCCATGATAAGTTTCGTTTTCCCTCGTTAGCCTTCAATCCGCCTGTGCTGCAAAACGAAATCGAAACTACCTTGGCCCACGAAATCGCCAAAACACCGTTTAGGTCGACCCCTGCCCTGAAGACTCAGGCGCAGGAGCCCAAAAGTGACGACGATCAGAGGATTTGGATGGCCCTCTTGGATTCTCCGCCCACGACGTCCACGCAGTGTTTCACTCACGAGGCGAGGCTCCCGCTCGAGACTTCCTCCAGACGAGCACGTGAGCGTGCGGGCGCATGGGCTTGTGAGTGGTAGTGGTGACGATGATGTCCCTGTGTGTGCACACGCGAGAACGGTGATGACGAATGTGCTAGGAAGAGACTGGGAGAGGAGAGTGTCCCTGCGTGGCGGGGTCCAGGCAAAACAAGAACCCAATTTTGGAAATGGGGGGAATACTGCCCTGGGCGGGGAGATTCAAAGAAATCGCCGTGGAGATGCAACACACAAAAACATCAAGTTCGAGAGATAAACTGCCCAGGAGAAGAAACCCCAAAGAATCCCACCAGCACTTTGAGTGGCTTAGAGCGTTTCCTCTTCCGCCCTCCCCCTTGCTTCCCTCCCCTTCGGGGAGGGGGTGACGCCTCCCTCTGGACCTAGACGGGGCGCCCCGCGAGGTGTCAGAGCGGCCGAGATAGCCTCGGCGGAAAGGCCAACATTACCGTTTTGTATGCGATTCTGGCCGAATTTAGGCCACCTGGGAGGGGGTCAAATTAAGTACCCCTCCTTGTTTGATCGATCACCTCCAAGATGGCCCAAGATGGCCCACGAAGCTCCCAGGAGTGCCCCAAGAGGGCCCCCAGAGGCGCACAGGGGGCCCCAAGAGGCCCCCTAGATGTCCCCAAGATACCCCCGAGAGGCTCCAAGAGACCCCTGGGAGGCCCGAAGTGGCTCCCCCGAAGCACCCGGAACGCGTCAAGAGGCCCCCGGGACCGCCACGAGGCCCCCAAGAAGCCCCAACAGGCCGTCAAGAAGCTCTCATCAAGAGACATCCGAAGCGACTTCCGAGAAGCATGCAAGAGGCCTCAGGCCATTCTGCTCGTCCTCCTCCTCTTCCCCTTCCTTCTCCGCCTACTCATCATCCTCCCTCCCCCCTCCTCCCTCCTCCCTCCTCCTGCTCCTCCTCCTCCACCTCCTCGTCCTCATCATCATCATCATCATCATCATCATCATCATCATCATCATCATCATCATCATCATCATCATCATCATCATAATCATCATCACCACCACCACCATCATCATCATCATCATCATCATCATCATCATCATCATAATCATCATGATCATCATCATCATCATCATCATCATCATCATCATCATCATCATCATCATCATCATCATCAGCCGCAGCATCATCATCATCATCAGCATCATCATATTATGATGTTTAGTATTAGTGTTAGTACTATGTTTATTCTGTGTCGTCTTATCATTAGTAGTAGTAGTAGTAGTAGTAGTAGTAGTAGTAGTAGTAGTAGTAGTAGTACTAGTATTATCATTAGTGGTATTATTATTAGTAATATAATTATCATTATTGGTACTATAGTATTAGCATTAGCATTCGTACTATTAGATTAATAAGATGTGTCTTCTTGTCCAGTCGTAAAATTAATACGATTATCGAGTATTGTTACTAGTAATATTATGAATAGTAATAGATTTGTGACTTGTATTGGTAGAACGAATGTCAGTCTTACTAGGATTCGCATGATTAGTCTGAGTATGGGTAGTAATATAAGTTTTAGTATTAGTATTAATGTTAGCATTGGCATCCGTATTAGTATTAGTATTACTGTTAGCATTCATATTCGCATTCGTATTTGTGTTCGTATGGTTCGTAGCATCCGTCTTCTTAGTAGTGTTCGTATCATTCGTACTATGAGTGTTACGAATAGTCATTGTAGTTGTCTTATCATGCATATGTGTGCCTTTATCTTGTGTATTCGTGTTACTATCGTTATGTGTACTATTACTAGTAGTATAAACGAAATTCGTAGCATTGCCAAGCATATAATTACCAGTGTTCCTCCCCTACTCCTTCTCCTCCTCCTCCTCCTATTACTACCTACTACTACTACTACTACTACTACTACTACTACTACTACTACTACTACTACTACTACTACAACGACGACGACGACGACGACGACGACTACTACTACTACTACTACTACTAGTACAACTACTAGTACGACTACTACTACTACTACTACTACTACTACTACTACTACTACTACTACTACTACTACTACTACTACTACACTACTACGAACTACTGACTACTACTACCACAACTACACTACTACAACTACTACTAAACTACACTACTGACTACTAACTACTACTATACTACTACTATTAACTACTAACTGATCCTCCTATTCCTACTCCTCCTACTCCTACACTAACTCCTACTCCTACTCCTACCTCCCCCTCCTCCTCCCTCCCCTTTCTCCTCCTCTCCTCTCCTCCTCCTCCTGCTCCTCCTCCTCCCCTCGCCTCCTCCTCCTCCTCCTCTGCATCCTCCGCATCCTCCTCCTCCCTCCTCCTCCCCCTCCTTCTCCTCCTCCCCCCTCCTCCTCCCCCCTCCACCTCTCCTCCTCCTCCTCCACCACCTCCCCACCTCCTCCTCCTCCTCCTCCTCCTCCCCCTCCTCCTCCTCCTCCTCCTCCTCCTCCTCCTCCTCCTCCTCCTCCTCCTCCTCCTCCTCCTCCACCTCCTCCTCCTCCTCTCTCTCCTCCTCCTCACTCCTCCCCCTCCTCCTCCTCACCTCCTCCTCCTCCACCTCCCCCTCCCTCCTCCCCCTCCTTCGCCATCGCCCTCCTCCTCTCTCCTCCTCCTCCCCTCATCCGCCTCCTCCTCCTCCTCCGCAGTCTCCGCAATCCTCCGCTCCCTCCTCTTCTCCGCATCTTTCCGCATCCTCCTCCTCCTTCCACCCCTCCCCCCCTCCTCATCCTCCTCCTCCTCCTCCTCCTCCTCCTCCTCGTCCTCCTCCTCCATACTGCCACTCTTGGGACATGACGGATTCCCAGCCTTCGTTCCATTGCGTGCTCCCCCCCATGCCTGATCAGGGCAACTCGCCTGGGCTTCGTTTTTGGACGGCCTTGTGGGGTTACGAAAAGCGTCCAGAGTTCAGCTCACCTCTCCCTGACTCACAGAAAGCGGAACCCCATGGGCAGGCGGCGTGGAAGACCTACTGGCCGTGGGCCCGGGGCCACCCGCCGAGAGGCGTGGGAGGGGCAGGAGAAAGCAGGCGCCTGGTGAGCAATCGTCACCCGTATATGGCCAGCCCGCGTCAAAGCAGGTCTGCTGGCAGTACAGGTTTTCGATCCAGGCTGTCCACACGTTGCACACGTGAAGCGGCCACCCCCATGACACGATGTTAGCGCAGTCACCCATAGAGGGCCAGGCAATCTTGTCCGTGCAGTTGTCGGGGGCCTTCATGCCATTCAGGGTGTAGTCGGGGTCGATGTCGCTCCGGTGCGCGCCGTCGACGTACATTTTATTCCCCGTGATCTGGACCCGCTTGGTCCTGTCCGCGCGCTTGAGCGCGAAGGCGTGCCAGCGAGAGCCCGCAGAGCATCTCGACCGCGGGAAGCCGAGATGAGAGTAGTCGGTCCCCCCCCACTGGTCGGTCACGATCCGGCTGTTGACCCGCTTGCGATAATACTCGCGGTGGGACCCGACGGGGGACGCAATCTGCGCGCTGACCCAGGCCTCGAGCGTCGTCTGGCTCAGCTCCGCCAGGCTGCTGCGGGTGGGCCCGAAGGTGGCCTAGACGGCAAGGCCCAGACGGCCCCCCGAAGGCAGCCCAGGCTGGCCTGAACACTCCTGGGACTCCTATGAGAACCCATACCCGATAAGGGCTACTATTAGAGCTCAGACTGTGAATCCGCAGGAATCTGGAGGAATCCCCAAGGATCCTGAGGAATCCCAGGATGCCATGGGATCCCCACGAGGGAATCCTGAGGAAGCCCCCAGGGCAGCCTGCGGTAGTCTCCGTGCACCCCCAGCCACGGGGGCACAGGGGCGCCAAGCGGGGCGCCGCTGGAGGCGGCACAAGGGGGTGCCGAGACCGCCCCTGGCTGCCCAGACCTACGAAGCCATGCTCTTTGAGGCGCGCCCAGCCACAGCTGCCGGGGCAAGATCACCGCAGCCCTCGGAGCAGCATCCCTCCGGCCCGCGAGCCGCGGCCCCTGGCCCAGGACCCCCGACCTGCACCTGCCGCACCTTCCGCGCGGCAGGTGCCGCTGCGGCGGTCGCGGCGGCCTCGGCGGCCGCATCGCGGCGGCGCCTTGCGTGCGGAGGGGGCAGGTCGAGGGGCCCTGCCAGTCGTGCCTCGTTCGCAGCGTAGGGCTCCCCCTGTGGTTCCCTCCCCCTCCCGCTGCCTCGCGGCGCGGAGACCCGCAGGGCGATGTCCGAAAACTGCCCGTCGGCCGGAAGAAGCGGGTAGAAAGATGAGAGAGAGCGTGATCCACCGCCGCTTTACTGTGGAAAATTGCCAACCTTTTCCTCCGGAACCCCGGGGTCTCCCCCCCCCCCCCCTCCGAAAAATCCCCCCCCCCTGCCGGAAAACCCCTCCCCCCCCCCCCCCCCCCCCCCCCCCCCCCCCCCCCCCCCCCCCCCCCCCCCCCCCCCCCCCCCCCCCCCCCCCCCACCCCACCCCCCCCCCCCTCTCCCCCGGCAAAAACCCCCCACCCAACCCCCCCCCCCCCCCCTCCCGCGCGAAAACCGGGGGGTCACTACCGGTTCGAACCCCTCCCCCCCCCCCCCCCCCCCCCCCCCCCCCCCCCCAGGATCCGGAAAAACCGGGAGGGGTCTACTACGGTTCGAACCCCCCCCCCCCCCCCCCCCCCCCCCCCCCCCCCCCCCCCCCCCCTCCCCCTACTCACCGCCAGCAAACGACTCCCGGTCCCCACCACCGTCCGCATCACATCCCCCACTGGTGTTCCCAGCACCACTGTCCTCACCACCGCTGTCCCCACTGGTTCCACCACCGCCCCTACTGTCCCCACCAGTGGCCCCACCACTGTCGCACTGTCCCCGCTGTCCCCAGAACTGTTCCCACCACGGTTCCACTCTCCCCACTGTCTCCACGGCCCCAACCACTGCCCGACTATCCCCACTGTCCCCACTGTCCCACTGACTCCTCCGCTGTCCCACTGAGCTGTCCCACTGTTCCCACCACTGTCCCCACTGTCCCCACCACTGTCCCCACTGTACCTCTGTCCCATTGTCCCACCGCCGTCCTCGCCACCGCCTTCACCACTGTCCCCACCACCATTGTACCCTCCACTGTCCCACTGTTTCCACCTCGTTCCCATTGTCCCCACACCACTGTCCCCACCACCACCGTCACCACCACTGTCCACTGTCCCCCCCTGTTCCCACCATTGTCCCCACCACTGTCCCCACCACTACCGTCCCCACCGCTGTCCCACTGTCCCACTGTCCCCACCACTGTCCCGCTATCCCCTCACCACTGTCCCCACCACTACCGTCCCCACCACTGTCCCACTGTCCCCCCACTGTCCCCACCACTGTCCCGCTGTCCCCTCACCACTGTCCCCACCAACACCGTCCCCACCACTGTCCGCACCCCCACTCGGTTTTCGAGGGGGGGGGGGGGGGGGGTTCGAACCGGTAGTGACCCCCCCCCCTTTTCATGATGAGCTTGGGGGGGGAGGGGGGGGTTCGAACCGGTAGTGACCCCCCCCGGTTTTCCGGAGGGGGGGGGGGAGGGGTTCGAACCGGTAGTGACCCCCCCCGGTTTTCCGCCAGCAGCGGTAGAACACGCTCTTTCAAAGATGAGGTAGGAAGGCGCGGATAGAAGTAGATTGGGTTCGGGCCCGCCCAGAGAGTAACAGAACGCAGCAAAGGCAGATCGGTTCTTGCAGTAAGAAGGCGCTCGAAGTAGATTGGGTTCTGGGAGTCCAAGAATACAGACTTTCAACGACCGATGGGTAGACCTGTGGTCGCGGAGCTTGCGTGGGCAAAAGACATCACAAACAAACAAAAAACAAAAAAACAAAAATCTATCCGGCTGGGAGGATGGGGTCGGGAAGATGTGGGGGCACGACAGTGCAATAAGCACACTCGGCGTACGCGATCACACCGATGCTCGGATCACCTCTCCCAACCCCATCCTCCCAACCCGATAGCTGTCTTTCTGACACAAAAGGACGGCCCTGTGGGGCCCGGCGAGGGTCCCCCCACGCCCGAAGGGCCAAGACCGTCAAGACCTTGCCGTCCCGATGTCTCCAGACGCGGGGGCCACCGACCTGCACCTTCCGCACCCCTCCGCGCGGAAGGCGCCGCCGCGATGCGGCCGCCAAGGCCGCTGCGGCACCTGCCGCGCGGAAGGTGCGGCAGGTGCAGGTCGAGAGGAGGGGCCTCTCGGAGCCATGGGGGGCCTCTGGAGGCCAGCCTGGCCTGCTGCCTCCGAGGCGGCCGCCTGGGCGCAGGACGCCCCACGCCCCGAGGGGCCTGGATGAGGAACTTGGCGTCGCTCGCGGGGCTGCGGGACGCGTTGGCCCGGGCTGCCGCCAGCAGCGCCGACGGAGCTGCTCCGGGCGCCTGGCGCAGGGACCGAGCCATGAGGTCCGGGCGCTGCCGCTTGTTCACCAGTGGGCGCTGTCGCCCAGCCTCGGGCCCAGGGATCCATCACAGAGATCGATCCTGCTCGAGAGAGGCCGCAGAAACCTGGGGCCCGGGGCTGCGGTAGTGACTTCTCGCGACGTCGCGTTTGTTCCACAACGTCGGATCTCAGGGAGGACAAACAGGAGCGGTGCCAAACAACAAGCGGCCAGTTCCACAAACCTTGCATCCGACAACAAAGCTGCACTGGGGACATATGTTTGGCTTTCGCCGGCTTCCGCCGGCCTTGGCCTTAAGGGGCAACGATAGGAGGGGACTGGCATAGGGGGGGAATGCATCGACCTAGAATCGACGATACATCGCCGATGGATCGGCGGTAGGCAGCCGATCGTGAATCCGCACCTTCCCGGGCAAGTTGGGACTACCGGGCCCCTATCGACGATCGGTGGGCGATTGGGGGTCGAAGCATCCCCCCCCTATGCCTATCCCCCTGTATCGTTGCCCCTGAGGCCAGCGGAGCCGCTCTCGCTTTGTTTCCGCCGGCCTGGCCTTCGGGCGAGGAAGGCTTGTCAACTTCTCGATGCCCCTGGAGGCGAGTACGTGGACCGCCCCGAAGGGCGTTTCGCAGCACAGGCGGACGACGTCGGCGGCGAAACCGACAACAGGGCCTGCTCCGAATTCCCAGACACCCTCGCGTCGTTAAAAAATCGCGACGGGAGGTTTTCCGCTATTTGATAAAAGGCCCCGGGGGGGCCCTTACCGGGCCTCGGGACCATCAAAAAAACGACTCAGGACGAAAAGCCAGTCCCAGGGAAAGGGTCCAGACCTCGGGGGGTCGACGCTGCGAACAAAATCACGACGTCGGGGGTCTGGAGACGTCGGCGACGAAACCGACAGCGAGTCCTGCTCAGCACGGGCTGGAGTTGCTGTCGGCCTTCGTCCCCCTTCTTTCCGCCCCGCTCTCTGGAGGACGCCCAGAGGGGGCTGAAGCTGATGGGGCTGGAGGTTTGCGCCGCATCGCCGATGCATGCCCAGACAAGATCGCGTCGTAAAAAAAATCAGGACGGGAAGTTTGGGGCCTTTTTCGGCCCCTGGGAGCCCTCGCCGGGCCTCGGGATCGTCAAAAACGACTCAGGACGAAAAACCGGTCCCGGGGAAAGGGTCGGGACTTCCAGGGGCCCCGCGTTGAACAAATCAGACCGTCGCATGTCTGGGTGGAGACCCCGTATGGAAAGAAATACACCAGCAAAGCACCCTAAAAGTAGCAAGGGTGAAGAGGAAGGACAGGCCCAAACCCCCGACGTCGTGATTTTTCTCACAACGCCGACCCCCAGAGGTCTGGACCCCTTCCCAGGGACCGGCTTTTCATCCTGAGTCGTTTTATTGACGGTCCTGAGGCCTGGTAAGGACCCAGAGGCCGAAAATAGCGAAAAACGTCTCGTCGAGATTTCTTCACAACGCGAAAGGTCCTGGGGGTGAGAGCAGCCCACGCGGAGGGTGGAGCACGGCCCCCCTGCACGAGGGATCGCGGCCGCCCTGGCCAACAGTGCAGCCAGCATGCGGGCGACAGCACGGCCATGAGCACCATACAATGGGGGCTCGGCCACAAGACACCTCCGCAAGAAACCCAACCCTGAAATCCGCGATTTGCCCAAAGAAAATCCAAATTTGTCGATCGAAGTCCAAGAAGCCCAGGGCACCCTGGCAAAATCCAACTGGTTTCTTGGCACGCGCCCCCACTGTAGTGCATCTTTCGCACAAAGATCGCGGCCGTCCGGGCCAAAAATGTAGCCGGCATCGACGCGAGAGCAAGATTCCGAAAAGCATCGCGAGACGGCTGCTGGACCAAGCGTCCCCGGGCTCCCCACCACCCCAGTGTGGGGTTCTTCTGTGGTTCTTTTCTACCTCTGCTGAAGTTCAGCGTGTCGCGGCGGAGGCCCCAGCGGCACGCTATGCCTTGTGAGTGGATAGCGTGCCGCTCCGCTCCGCTCCGCAGGTCGGGAGGCTGTGAATCGCTCGCTAAGTTGACGCCTGGAGAGTGGGATACGGACACCGTGTCGCGCCATAGCGCGGTGGGCCAGAACCAGCGGCCCGACACGCTAAGCCAAAGTCCCTGACCGTATTAGGGAGCAGGAGATCCCATGCCTTGATTGCAGAAGAATCAGAAACGCCACGAG